ATCATTTGACCTCAGTGATCCCACTCTCGCTCTTAGGGTTATTTTCTAAGCATCCCCAAACCATGTCTTTAAGGATTCATCCTAGAATTTGGTTTAGAATTTAACAATTCCTGACTATCTTGTCATTTATAAATTCTACTTCAGCCCTATTGAAAACACTGGCCAAATTTTTTGCTTTCTTCCAGACTCTTGGAATTTTTCCTGATTGCTATCATTTCCTAAATAATATTACTCATTTTTCAGCTGTGATACATGAAATTTCTTTTCAGTCCCCTAAAATTCATCCACTGAATTTCATTTTCTTGCATTTGAAATATTTCTTCTATCCTTTATATTGTGGAGAGTTTTCCTCCCCTGCCCCTGTTTTTGTCACAAGAGACAGCTGTGGTAGTCGTCTGAGGAGAGGTGTGTATATTTTTGAGTAGCCAGGTCCTTCAGCAAATGATTTTGGAGAAATGGTCAGCAAAGGGAATCAGGAAGAAAGAACCAGAGAAGTGAAAGAGCAGGCAGATTCATATCCCCAAGATTAAGTGGGTCCCTGCATATGCAGGTTGCTGCTGTCACAAGCACTGCAATAGTCTAGTGGGGGGCTCCTGGAGCCAAGGCTGTCTGGAGCAGGAAGGATGCTGAACGTGGCCAGATGAGCCTGCACACGACCCAGTCATCACCATCAGACCCTGCTTTCCCTCTAGTTTCCATTTGCTTCTCACATTGAGGTAGCTGCTAACAGTCTAGCTACCACACGAGTCTAAGCATTTCTTGCAATAAGAGATATGAGCAGAACTTATGGTGTAGAGAATAGAACACTCAAAATAGACAGCCACGTCTGGACCAGTGTCCAAAATGATAAGCTACCCAATAAGTCAACCCAAGAGTTTCCTCTTCACTCACTACAATAAGGACTCATCTTTCTGTTCCTTCTAGTGTGGAGCTCTGCACCACCCAGCCTATGTGGCATAGCTCAGCTCAGCTGGCTGAGCTCTGCAGGTGGCTATGGCCCCGACAGGCCCCGGGGCTTCTGGTATTGGTCTTAAGACCAGCTCTGCCATGATGAGAGCACTAATGGCAACCTTCCTACCTGAGAGCAGATCTTTGCAACGCAAGTAAGTTACAGGAATAAAGTCTCATAGCTTCATATTACAGTGGTACCTTGGTTCACAAACTTAATTCTTTCTACAATTCTGGTAACAAACTGAACTGGATGAATGTAGCCAATGAGGCACATGAGCTTTTGTAAGTTTCAGCTCAGCATTCTTCCCTCAGGCCAGCTGCCTAAATCATTTCTTCCACCTCCTTGGACTTGTTTCTTTATCTACCCTTTGTTATATCTGGTCTTAGCCCTTGGTCAACTCTTTAAAGCCCCCAGGACCACCACAGAAAGTTCCCCTAGTATCTCTCTTTTGGTCCTACTGTTAGAAAAACACACTGGTGATTCTCCTGAACTGCTGTCAAATAGCTCTGCACCTCTGAAATTGAAATCTTCCATCTTCTCACCTCATTTTTTTTTCCTTGATTTGGCTAAAAGTTTTCCAGGCTTTCTGAAGTATACACTTAATATCTTTTTGGTTCTTTTCTCCTAATAAACAATGTGGCATCTAAAGCCCCTCTTTCCTGATTATTTTTTCCTCTGGAAGGTAAGATCCTACAATATGATGAACATACTTGGAGAGGGGGCATATATGATGATGCAGAAATGAAATGACTGTCTTCAATTCCCACTTTGACAAAATAAGTCACTGCAGGGTCCTGTGTGTGATGCTTGCAGTTAGAGTAGATAACAGACCAGCTAAGTGACAGATTTTGCTTCTTCTCCTCCATCTATTTCTCCGGAGGGATGCTTCCCTGTGCCTTGCTTTCATGTCAATAGACAGTAAGCACCAGCTCAGCCAAGGTCCTAAGACTAGTTCTGGAGGGCTAGGACACAGGTCTTTTCTGCTGAGCAAAAGTGTGTGTTGCCACAGTGGTAATAAAGGAAGACAAGAATTTCAGTAAAGAGGGCCCCTCTGGGGTGAAGGTCTAGACCACATAGGCCTGGGAGAGTGATGAGCAAATAACTCCAGACAAGTATCGCTGATCCCAGCTTTGTCTCTGCAGCCAGCACACCAGTGATGGAGGAAGTACATGGAGGACATGGGTACCTTTTTCAATCCCATCCTGGACACCTTGGGTGTCAAGAAGGCCTTTGATCAAGCATCTAACATGTATGTGAGAGCTGTCCCCTGTCCAAGGACCTCTACACTTCTCACCCTGCCCTGCTTCGTAGTGTACAAAAATGAGTCGGGAAAGAGGAAGAGATGGCCTAGAGGGACAATTCCAAGGCCTCCTTTGCCCCTCAATGGGGCGTAATTCAGTTACGGAACAGAAAGTATCCACAATAGGTACTTATTTGTCCACGTCACCTGGCTTTCTTGCTCTTGTGTTTCTTCATCCATAAAATGAGAAAATTGCATTCCACGACGCCTAAGTCACCTCCCTCTTTACCTAATACCTGATATGATGTGACCATACCAGGACATAATCTTGAGGTGAACAAATCAATAATCCTAGATGCTTACTGCCTGCCTTGTGCTGGAGATTCTTGTGAGCACTGTAAAGAAACTACTTCATTTCATTCCTATTAGCATCATTGTAATTCCATAGGAGACAGAATTGAAGCACTGAGAGGTTAAAGGACTTGCTCATGGTCAGGTAACACAAAATATCAGAGTTAAGATTTGAACTCAGGAAGTCTGAGGCCAAGGCCCAGGCTTTTCATATTGTCATTCATTTTTTTCCACCACAGAACACAAGACACAAGGTAGTAGATGGGTGGGAAGGCAGGAACCACACACTCGCTGTGAAATGGGATACCCCAACTTGTCAGGAAACCCTAGGAAGTAGGGTAGGAGAAGAGCCCTGAGATCAGAGAAGGAAATGATGGCCCCCCTCTCCCTCTCTTTCTGAGCAATTTGCCTGTCCCCATGTGTAAGGACTCATCAGGCTGAGATCTCTCCATGCCAGTGACCATATTTCTGGTTGACCTTCAGTATAGCCAGCTTGCCATTTCCTCCATGTTCCTGACACTGCTTTCCAGCTCCACAGATCTTTGGGTCCTGGAGTTAGTGGTATCCTGGGAAATAGCCTTTCCTACTATCTTTTTGAGATCTCCTCCTTCTCTGACAGTTCCTCCATCCAGATATCTCTCAAGGCCAAAGCCCCTTTGTGAGCCAAATCCTTTCCAGCCTGTGATATGTGTGCCTTATAGGGAACACTATTGTGTCTGGAGTGTCATTGAGCTGCCCTCTCATTATACAGCAGAGACTCCTTTAGTTGTTTCCACATATTCCTGGGCAATGACTTGGATACAAGGGCGGGTGAGGCTGGCCATTGCATGGCAGGTGCTCCAAGGCTATGTCTGTTCTCACCAGCAGGCTAGAAGCCCTAGCCTCCGGTGTCCCTTCCACCATCTCTTATGCAAGCACAGTTTCATAGCTTTCTCCCTTCACGTCCCCACTGAACAGATGGCAGTGCGAGGATTCTCCCCTCCTACACCATAAATCCCCCACTTTCTAGGACAGCTCTAGGTCTTCTGGAAAGTGTTCTTTCCTCTGGCCTAGGCCAGTATGTCAGTGCAGACGTGATAAAGGCCATGAAGCTGTTTGGGTGGCTGTGTAGAGAACACTGGACTTCCAAATGACCATGACCATGGATCTGTAGCCTAAAGACAGCCTTATAATCCACACAGGCATACAGCAAGAGGCTATTACAGTATCATGGGGAGACCACGCTGCCCAACCAGGACCTCAGCCCCCATCGGCTCTTCTTCCTAAGCTATGCCCAGGTAGGCAGCTGCCCACTCCTTCCACAGCTTGCTTCTTCTCAGAGAAGAATCCCATGACTAATGCTCCAAGGAATTTCCTCCCTGATACACACTCCCTAAAGACTCCCTCCATCACTCAACCGCTGCCACAGATGCCCCTACTGTCCTCTTAGCTATCCCCTTAGAATCATCCTGCAGGTTATTGCTAATTCTTTGACCAAATTCAAAATCCCCCCCCCCCGCCCGCCGCAGCCAAAAAAAGAGCTACTAGTTCCTTCTGTGAGGTGGGTGGAGTTTTCTTCTGTCATGCCCTAGAAATCAAGATCCTTTAAAATGTGATGATGACAGGCTAACTGTACACTCCCTTCCGCCTCACAGACCTTGTATCCAGGGCTGGTTCCACCTTGACACGACACACTTCTGTACCCGTGCTCCCTCTGCAAAAGCAGTCCCGAATTCCTCAACACATTTAGAGACACCCTCGAAGAATCCTCCATCAAACCCACTTCCCTACCTCATAACTATTGTTATTCTATGGCTCGGGGTCTCCCCACATGCCTAGGGCTAGACTAAGTGACCTGCAAATGGGAAATACTCAGAGTAACCACTGAGCATTCTATTCCTGCTCCTCCCTCCATCTATTCCTCCAGTGATCCCCTGTCCCGGTGCATTCCCTGTCCTAGTGACATGTCAGCACTTGCTCCTTACCCTTCTTTGGCCTCTTTTCTTCCTCAAGTGATGTGTAGGAAGCCCAATCCCCAAGACACTCAGGACACTCGCACCCCACCACCACCAGTCTTTCAGTTCACCGACCCCCTCAGAAACAACATAGCCTTTGGCAGGCATTTCCACTGTTCATGGGGAGCCCTTTTGAACCTTTCCAGATCCTGCCATCTCTGTAATAGGAAAGCCAGAGATTCCAATGGAGATGTTCAACAGCTCCCTTCCTCATCCTGTTCCCTTCCAAAAATAAAAGCTGACACTTGGCTTCTGTCATCTCTTAATGATTTACATGCTATTTTTTATTCCTAGAAGTCAGAAAAGATAAGAGGGAAAAATGTCAAGAAGGGCTCCCTGAACATTAGAATAGGAAAGAATAGGCACCCGGTGAGTTGGTGGGTCTGAAGGTCAAAGACTGGGCAATTAAACAGAGCAGTTAGAAACTCAAGGGCTTGGTTAAGTCTCAGAAAGTTTCTCCTAATTATTTTCAGGATTTTATTGCTGTTTTACTGTCAATGCCTCTGCCCTCCAATCTGCTATATTGGACAAAACCAGTGGAGGCATGGGAGGGAAAAGGGCACGGCTCTGAGGCCTCTGGCCCTGGACCATAGAGCTGTGGGCTTGGGGTGGCATCAGGCAGAAGCCATGCAGGAAAGGCTGCACCCTAAGGACAGGTGCCGCTGGCAAGAGCAGGGAGCAGTGTGCAGGGAGTGGTGTGGGTATCTCTTTGGGGAGCTGTGGCATGGAACCCAGTAGAGAGTGGAGATCAGTAAGCGATCAAGAAGTCAAGGAAAAAAAATCTGGGTCTTCCTCCTCCAGGAGCCAAGCCATCTCCTTATTCTCAACATCCCTCAAAAAAAAAGAAAAAAACCATGATGCTGGCCAAGTTAAAGCAGAGAGCCAGATCGAAGAGGCGGTGGTCTTGGGCAGCTGCTGTGTCAGAGGTGAAGTCCTCCTCTTGCCGGGCCATGTCCATCACCTGCCACTTCTCACCCTCCGAGGAGGCCATGAAGTGCTCTTCATACTGCTCTTGGCCCTGCTCTGGAACAGGAGAGAAGGCCAGGCCTGACCCTGATCTGCTCCTACCCTGACCCTGAACCAGCAAGGGAAGAAGTCAGGATATGGGAGGGCCAAGGGCATTTGGCCCAATGGCCACATCTTGGGCTTTGGCCAGAATGTGATGCGCTATCTAGAGGTCTTTTCTGACCCGGGTTCAAGCACAGCCCCAACTCAAACAGCCCCCCTCACACACACCTCGAATGCTGTCTCCTCCAGTGTGACCCCAGCTGGGGAGTGAGCCACACCTTCCAGTGCACTGAAAACCACAGATGTCTTGTGGACAGACACGCTTGCTCACTCACACAGAAGCTACATGCACTGCAGCTGGCCATGCTGTCCCCTGGTGAGGAACCCCCACTCCAGACCTTTTACAGGACACCCTTGTGTCACTGCATGATGACAAGGACCTGGCGTTGTCTCCCATAACCCAAACCTATCTGAGATCCACTGTCACCTAAGCAGCTGCCTAGGGCCTGACCTCAAACAGGTCCAGCCTTCCCTCCAGACTGGCCTCCCCTTCCCCACCTACCTGCAGGGGGCGTTTTCTCTTCCAGGGCCCCCTCCTCTGGCCCTGTGCTGCTCTTCTGAGTCTTGGCTCCTTTTACCTGCAGCAGCAGCAGCAGCAGGATGGCAGCCAGGAATGCTACCCTGTGGGGCTGGGAGCCCAGGGAGGTCAAGGGCCTGCCCACCCACCAGGGCCTCTGTCCTCCGCTCCCACTGCTCCCAGGCTCCTGCCCTCTCCGTGTCCCAGCCCTTACCCCTGCCCAGTGTCGCTTTTGCCTCTGCTTTTCCATCAGACCATTAGACCTCTGACTCCATGTGCTCTGTGACATCACAGCCACAGGTCTGACCTTCATTCCAGCTCACTAGAGCATTCCATGGCCAGGCATGAGGGTGGAAGGGCCCAGCAGGAGATGGCAGAGGCTTCTAGAGTGGCCACAGCAGGTTATCCAGTGGTCCTGTCACATGCACTGCAGCTTTGGATCCACAGAGGCACCGGCCCTCCAAAGTATTAGCCCTCTATACCCATTATACAGATGAGGAAACAGGTTCACAGAAGGAATGACTCTCACTGAGGTCCACACACACAACTGCCAATAGGCAGAGCAGGACTTGCGATTTGGACTTGGCAGCTTCCCAGTATTCCATGCAGCCTTTCTCTAAAGAGAGGGGCTTGCAGGGAGCAGTCCCAGACCTGATACAGAAATAAGGATCCTCATGTACGGGGCTCACCTGGTGCTTGACATGGACCTTGAGCCTGTCAGAAACAGAGGATGAGGTGGAATTGAGGGAGGGTGAGAATGCAGTGTGTGTGCATGAGAGACAGAGAGACACTGCATAGGGACAGAGACAGACAAGGAGAGAAAGCGACAGACACAGACACAGAGAAAAAAGCAGAAGAGAGCACAGGGACAAAGCCAAGAGAGACAGGAACCGCACGGGCAGAGTCAGCGAAGAGGTGGGGTCCGCCCCATGCAGAGGCCGTTCTGTATTTTCACCATCCCTGTTTTTCTCCTTCCTACCCTTTGCCCTCCTGCACCTCCAAGCTGGAAAACCCTCTTCTCTTATGTCGCACCTTCCTGTTCTCTGGGCCGTAGCGTATTGCAGCTCATCTTCATGCTTCTTGGTGGTGGGAGGAGTGAGAAGGTGCAGGAGAGGCTAGGGGACAGGGCTCCAAGCGGTGGATCTGGGGAAAGCCTGCCTCAGGGCCCCAGTGCCTGCCCTGGAGAGCTCAGGTGTGGGGTTGGTGTGCCCCTGCCAGAATTGGTCACAGTCCTGGGGGACAGACTGGGAACTGATAGCTCTCTCTGTCCAGGTCAGACTGCCCTGCACATAACTTTCAGGAACAATAACGTGAACCTTGTGCGCACCCTGCTCTCCCACGGTGCCAGGGTCTCTTCCAGAGCAACAGACACTACCAGAGAACAATCCTCACAACCAGATCTTCCAAGGTGAATGCCAGGGCCAGGCTGACAAAAAGGGGAGGAGGACAGCAGGGTGACATGGAGGGTGCCTAAGGTGGGCTCTCTTCAGATGGAGCAGCCCTTGCAGGACTGAAGGCCAGAGACCATGGCCCACACAAGCTCTGCCCTGTCCTTTCCTCTGGTTCTGCTGGACAAGGGTCCCCAACACCCAGCCTGGGTGTAGGGAGGAGGAGGCAGTCACCTGGGGACACTGTCCCTCTCATCCTGGGACCCCGCTGTCTCCTGCCACTGATCCCACTGTGTCCCCAGGGGAGCACCCTCTGTCCTTTGCAGCCTGCGTGGGCAGTGAGGAGATCGTGCAGCTGTTCATAGAGCATGGAGCTGGCATCTGGGGCCAGGACTCACTGGGTAGGAACTGGATGGGGATGGATACTGGGATGCTGCAGGGGCTATGCAGGTGGGGGTGGAGGAGACAGGCCATCCCAGGTGGGAATGGGGCCATGGGGGACAGTAGGCCTGTGGTCACATGAGAGTCTGCCCTCCCCAGGAAACACTGTGCTGCACATCCTCATCCTGCAGCCCAACAAAACCTTCGCCTGCCAGATGTACAACTTGGTGTTGTCCTATGATGGAGGGGACCACCTGCAATGCCTGGAGCTCGTGCCCAACCACCAGGGCCTGACCCCCTTCAAGCTGGCTGGAGTGGAGGGCAACACTGTGGTGAGGGGCTGCCCAGCCCTGACGCATCTCCCTAAGGACCTTTCACTCCAAACTCCCAAGGAGTTCCCACTCCATCACTAAAACCTTCACCTCAGCTTCCCCTACTCAGGAGCCCTGAGCCTTTCACCTTAGGTAGCAGCCATGGGAACCCAAGCTCTCTCTCCATTCACCTGCTCTATTCCTTCAGAGCTTTATGGGGTTGGTCTAGGAAAGATGACAATGCAAGAAAAAGATTCATGTAAGCAGAAGATCTCCAATTCCCCACTGTCTTTTGGTCCCAGAGTGGGCTCCTGGCCTAGTCCACAGTGCAGTTCTCTGGGACCAGCTTCCCACGCAGTAGCCTCCCTTTCTCCCCTGTGCCCTCTCAGATGTTCCAACACCTGATGCAGAAGCGGAAGCACATCCAGTGGTCATACGGGCCACTGACATCTACTCTCTATGACCTCACGGAGATCGACTCTTGGGGAGAGGAGCTGTCCTTTCTAGAGCTTGTGGTCTCCTCTAAGAAGCGGGAGGTATGGATGTCAGGGAGTCTGGGACCTGTGGGTGAGCAACTTAGGGTCTGCCCAGAGCCCAGTTTCCAGCTGTATCCTGGGCCTCAGACACTTCCCAGCCTTTCATTAGGTGGAGATGAGACCAGTCCCAGGGAGCTGTAGGGAAAGCCCAGTCTGCATTCCCCTCCTGACCACATTCTCCCTCTGCTTAGCTCAGTCTCTTCCAGTTACCTCCCTCATTCTATCCCTTCAGATGAGCAATTCCCCAAATAGAAGTTGTTACCTTCCCCTCCCACCCTTTTTTTTTTTGGCACCTGGGATCCAACTCTGGACCTTGTGCTTTCAAGGCAGGGATTGGAACCACTAAGCTAAATCCCCAGCCCTCCCACCCTGCTTTCCTTCCCTCCTTCACTCCTTCCTTCCTTCTTTCTTTTTTCCTACCTTCCCTCCTTCCTTCTTTCTTTCCTTCCATCCTTCATTCCACATACTTGGAACTTACTGTATCCCTGATATTACACAAGGAACAGATGATATAGAATAGATAAACCACACTTTCTGTCAGTTAGCTTAGTCACTTTCTTGTCCCTGTCTTCCATAATTGCAATAAAATAAGGCTGGAACCATTATGGGGATATATGAAATGCACAGAGACAGAAAAATGGAAGTGGGGTCATCTTGGCTTGGATGGACCTGAGTCTCCAAGGAGGAGCTGGGGGGTTACCTGCAGGATGAGAGATTTCCAGAGAGGGAACAGCCTATAGATCATACAGCATCAAATGACACAAAGGAAAAGACAATCAGTTATAATATACTATAATATACAGGAGAAAGTGACTCTGGTTTTGGGGAATTGCCAAGATATTGGCAAAATACATTTTCTGTTAAACAGCATGATATTTTCCTAGGAACGTTTAGCCATAAATCATGGGCGGTTGTTATCACAAATGAATAAAAGTAAGGTTGAGTACAAGTTTGTGTGAACTTCCTCAGAGAATAATCCTGGATACAAGCTTTGATCAGATTTTCTTAATAAGTAGAAGCTCAATTCCAACATGTAGATTTTGCCACCACACTTCCTTGGTCTTTCAGGTCAGCTAGTTCTCAATATTCTCCTTGGATTCTATCCATGTCTTGTGTCAGCTACTTCTCTCTTCCCTAACACTTTCTCTCAGTCCCTGTTTCATATTCCTTGTTATCCTCACCCCTATTTCCATCGGAAGAGCCAGACTTCCAGCTTAGGGCAAAAGAATCTCTCTGTCTGGGGCTCACTCAGCTTCCTACCTTGAATTGCCAAGTATGTCTGGAAACTGCCCACTATCTCTTTTTTCCCTCTGTCTTCAAAGGATAGTATATTTTGGCTAGTGGTTAATCTCTCCAACTTTGTTTTGAATCTACCTCTTCATAATTTCTCAGATGTTTCATCCTATCCATCATTCTCTGTACCTTAAATCCTTGCAGTCTATTTATATCAGACCTGGATTATTCCCATATCCTACTACCAGCTCTACTGATTTTCTTCTAGAAAAATTGAACTACTTTCCTGCTTTGCCTTACCAATTGCCCTACATATAATTCAGAAAAACATTTTTCAAACTCCTACCTTGGTGTCCATTGGTCACAATGATCTGGCTCTTACTTACTTTGCCAATTATATCTTTTGTCCACCAATCTCAACAGTTTCTCCCATATTTCCAACTTCACTTTCTTTGCAAATGGGCAACAGTTTTGCATAATTTCCTGCCCTGGAAACTGCTGATTCTTTGTGGAATGATCTTTGCTTACTCTCCCTTCACCCAATTAGCTATGACTCATCTGTTAAAGCCACAACAGTGCCATGGCAACTTGGATTTACATTTGTAGTGGTTTATCTGTTGTCCTACCATAAAGGATGAATTGCCTAGGTGTCTGACAAGGAAATACTTAACTGAATGTTTGATGAGAGTGATGGCTTCTGCTCTGCTCCTCTGGAGCTTAGTGGGAAAAGCAACACTCCTTACCAAGTGGATCATCCCAAGTTGCACTCTTCTTGCGTGGCAGGCTCACCAGATCCTAGAACAGATCCCTGTGAAGGAGCTGGTGACCTTGAAGTGAAGGAAATAAGGGTGCTCCTACTTCTGCATCCTGGGTGCCTTGCACATTCTCTACATGATCTGCTTCACCACGTGCTGTGTCTACCACCCCTTCAAGGTCCGTGATGAGAACCGCACACACTCTCGAGATAGCACTGTCCTCCAACAGAAACTGCTACAGGTGACTCTTCTCAGAAGGCCTGAAGGGAATAGTATATGAGGTGATGGCACTACAAACAAGACAGACGCTGTCCCCATGGGATCCAGAAGTGCCAGGTTCCCAGTTACCAGGTTCTGAATTAGGGATGCAATAAGGAGGCCAGAGACAGAGCTTAATGAGTAGAAGACCATCTGTCCAGGGAGTTGTAGATTTTCTCACAGAAACTTAGAAAGAATGCTTGTTATTGGTCACCCTGGACATTTGTGATATGTCTTATAATTTACAGGGAGCATCAGCTCATTGTAGTGGGATATTTAAGGGAGGGAAACTGTACTCACATCCATCTCTGAGTCTATTTCTGGTCTAATAGGGTAACATGGACAGCCCCTCTGGTTGGCATCCTCCTCTGTGCACTGTCAACATGAATGCATGGGCAATAACGGGTCAGCTGCCTGCCTGTCTGACAGAGACCTTGCACAAGGTTGCTTGGATTGAGTAGCAAGATGAACTGAATCATCTCTGAAATCTTCTTACTGCTGTGATGCCCTGACACCTGAGTGGTGAGGAGGGCTGATCAGAGATGTGCAGTGAATGCAAAACTCTGCTGCT